GTTGGCTTTTCAATGTGGATTCCAAAGACTGAAATCAGGACCTCATACTTTCCAAGAACTTTACTGACAGAGTTATATCCCCAGCCCCCCAAATTTTCAGTTTTCATGATTAAACATTTGAAATAAAACAAGAACAAGACCATGTGACATTTCAGAAAAACGCTGATTCTAAATTTTGTAACAGGACATTTCCACCTGACCCTTAGGCATAATAACCCAAAGCACCTGAGAAATACTTACATGGGGCAGGGTATACAAACTTCTCTGGATTCTGACTGAGCAGAGCATTCTTAATGTGGCTACGACCCACTCCACTGGCTCCTGTGTGAGGATAAAAGAAAGGTTTCCATCAGTTTCATTCAGAAACACTGGTGGGGAGATGGATTTCTTTATTACAGTGCTCACAGTGGCTAGTAGATAAAAACAGTTTGGTGCTGTAACAAGGCTGCAACTGAGTCCTTAGAATTGTCAAGATTTGGGGCCACCAAATAGCTTTAATTCTTTTGCATCCATTTGAGTGAGAAGTCTTTCTAAGGCCTAGGAGTTAAGATGTTGAACATAATTGCTATTTCTACAGAGGAATTAGCTACTGGGAAGTTTTCTTTTTATTTTCTAAGCCATCCAAACAGGTAGACAAAGAGCAAACCGAATACAAAAGAATTATGTGCTAAAAACAGTAGAAAAACTTGTAATATGAACCAGATCCAGATAGATTACTTGTAGGATCCAAACGTTCTTTATAACTACTATGTGAAGTATCTAAGAGACCACACTCCATATCTTCCTCACTGCCTTTCCTGAAGAAGGGTGGACACATAACACGGGATTGGAAATAAAGACAGAATTGTGCTCTTGAATTAGCAAATTGGTGAGGAGCAGTGAAAAGATACCGATCAACACCAGGGTCTTCCTTTTGAATGCAGGGAGCCGAACAACTTCCTCATAGGAAACAACATCCAACTGGTCAAAAACTAGAAACAAAGAAAATCAAACCATATTAATTTTCAGAGGTGTGGTGATAAAGCACTGGCTGGGGTTAAGTTGCTGACACACTTGATCCAGCAATGAGGGAACGCTGGGTGTGGTGGTACATACCTACAATCCTAGCACTGACTACAAAAAGTAAATAAAATGCAGGGAGAGAGACCATGGACATGAAATCAGAGGGGGGAGGGGTCACTGGGAGGGATGTTAGATATTTCTATGTGATGAAGAGTGACTTTATGCAGTGAGACTGGCCACACCAAACTCCAGCTCAATTTCATGCCTACCTATGTTGTGAAAAAATAAGTGGAATCCAAACTTATAAGTAGAATAAAGACTGTTTTGCTAATTGAATATGCTAGCACAATTGCTGTAGCAGCTAGAGGAGGTGTGGAACAGGATGTGAGAGCAGGCTCATTCTGTATTACAGATGCATGTACTCCCTTTAGTCTATGATTTGATTTTCTCAGCATCCACCATCTGAACTTTTCACATGGCTCTGTAGGCCAGTCCTTAGGATTCTGATTTTATATGCTTTTTTATAACTCTATGTTCTTCTCTGTATCCTTCTGACCTGACCTTTTCAGTCTCTTCCAGTCTCAGTATAGTAATGGTTCTCTATCTCCAACACAGATTCCATCTTTCTAGAACTTTTAACTTGGGTGTCTCATAGGCACTTTTAGAGTTCAATAATATCAACACCATCACTGTAACCCTTTTAACATCCCTTATTTTAGAGAACAGAACCAATATTGACCCAACCATTCAAGATAGAAAGGGACTCTTAGGCAGACACTCCTCTACTCCTTCACAGATGCCTTGGCTGTGGTAGCTTCAGGTTCTTTGATTTGTTCATGCACCTGTCATTATCTCTGAATGCTCTCAACAGGATGGAAACATTGAATAAATTATAGATTAGTATTCATTTTTTTTAGTATTCATTTATTATCAGGAACCCACTTGAAATTCAGCCCTTCATATTCATAAGGCCTGTATCCTCAGATTCAATCAACCACAAATCAAAATATTTGAAAAAGTTTGCATCTATATTAAAATATATAGACTTTCTCTTTCATTATTTCCTAAACAATATAGTACAATTATTTATACAGCATTTTCATTGTATTAGAAAATCAAGATTTTCTTTTTCAGTCAGGGTCTCACTATGTAGTTCTGCTTTGCTTAAAATTTGCACAGGAGGATATAAATAAGTCCTATATAAGTTCTACACCCTTTTATTTGAGGGTGTTGAGCATCTGTCAATTTTGATAACTACTGGGTACTGGAACCAGTCCTCTGTAGATACTGAAGTTGGTGATCAGCAGAATAAAGATAACTATGGAGAAAAGTCTGGAAGACTTGATCAGTTGGTTACTTGAGACATGAGGTGATGAGTAGGTGTGGACAGACCACTAGCTTTCCTGCACATGCACTGGCATTGTCTCTTTAGTGAGTAAGGTAAAGCCAAAAGAAATGGGACATTTTCTATATACTATACATCCCACTACACACTGCAACCTCATCTCTTTCCTTTTGGTTAAAGAGGTAGATAAACACTAATGCTACTTGGACTCTGGAGGAAGGGGACACAGAAAACTTACTGGAACTGTGCTTAGCCAGGTACTTGTCTTTATACTTCTTCTTCTTCCCAAAGGGACTGCAACTTGGAGCTTCACTTGGAGCAGATTGAGCCACACTTGCCACTCTCCTGTGAAGAACAGATGACTAAAAGTCAGTAAGTCCTCAGTGCAAAAACCTGTGACAAATTAGGCTACCTCCTTTTTTTTCTATAGTTAAGTTTTAAAACTGACTGACCCACTTCCTTGACTCTAAAATTCTTCAGGCAGAGATGGCCTCACCCACTTCCTTTCCTTTTTTCTTTATAATTTTATGTTCTCACCCAGGCACCTGGCAGTGCAAATGTTTTCAGGAGGAAAAAGTAATCCCCCCACCCCTTAGTGCAGCCTGACCATTCTTCCACCTTTGAGGTGAGACCTGGAAAATTGGGCTGACACTCAGTTCATCATAAGAAATATATTATCTACAACAACCCTAATCTATAAATAAAGCACACAGAATCACATATATGACTGAAACAATAGCTTCAATAACAATACCATTTGTTTCTGTGTAATCTATACTGATGTTTCTATGAATCATCTTTTGTTTTTAGTCAGGGTCTTACTATGTAGCCGAGGTGGCTTTGAACTTGCCTCAGCCTTCTGAGCACTCTGAATTACAGTCCTGAGCCACAATACCTGATCCTCACTTAAAAAATACATGTTGTAGTCTACTAAATTGATTTCATGTCTCATTACTTAGCCTCAGTTTCACTTTGTGCTCTCCTGAGTCTTTCTTAGCTATCTGACTTTCCTGATCTATGTTCTTCACCAGGGGTTAGCTCTAAAGGTGGCCCAGAAGTTACAGACAGCATGCTCCAGGTTTTGACCAACATCTTCCAGTTCTGCACTGTATTTCTTCTGTTGTTCTAATGGCAAACATTAATTTATACCAAACACATTCTGTGGTTAGGTGCTATTTACAATAATTGGAAATGAGATCAAGCAGAACTCTAACTTCAAACTAAAGGTCTGTATATACGTTTGCAGGGCTAACCATACAACTAAGTGGGTTGTACTTACATATTTAGGAATTTGTATATTAAGAATATATATATATATATATGTATATATATGTATATATGTATATATTCAACTGCTAATGAAAAAAGAGGCCATGAGTTTTGAAGAGAACAAAGAAGGATATATGAGGAATTTAGAAGGAAGAAAAGGACAGATTGAGTTCCAGGACAGCCAGGGCTACACAGAGAAACCCTGTCTCGAAAAAAAACAAAACAAAAAACAAAATAAATAAATAAATAGATGGATTAAGTAAGAAAGAAGCCGAAAAAAAAAAGAAGGAAGAAAAGGAAGGGAGAAATGATGTAATTATATTATAATCTTAAAAAATATAAAAGAAATAGGTCTGGTACAGGAACAAACACTTTTTGAGGTTGTGATGTTATTTTCTACAAGGAGGTCAACAGTGAATATGGATTTTTTTTACCACTCTATGGTCATGTGCGGCAGCCTTGCACTAAGTCAGCAATCTGACTGGAGGACAAGAATCTGCATAAAAGACACATACTTAAAATGTAACTGTTTTCAGAAGTTTTCTTAGAAACAGTACTGAGTGATTGAAGGGATACAGGAAACAGGGAAGAGGACTTTTTTTGTTTGTTTGTTTTTTGTTTTTTCGAGACAGGGTTTCTCTGTGTAGCCCTGGCTGTCCTGGAACTCACTCTGTAGACCAGGCTAGCCTAGAACTCTCGAACTCAGAAATCCACCTGCCTCTGCCTCCCAAGTGCTGGGATTAAAGGCATGTGCCACCACCCAGTGGAAGAGGACTTTGTAACTGATAAGGGTGTTTAAGGAAACAGGCCAATAAAAGGCTCCTTTCCCTGAAACAAATGGCCTGAACCATATCAACTCCTGTGGACACTTCCTCATCTATTATGTAAAGAAAACTAGAACATATGTTTAAGAGATATGGTAAATATACACAAGACAGCAGATTACTGAAGCTAAGCAATTAGCTACTGCAGGTGCTTTCCACCAGCACAAACATGCTCACCATTCCTGTAGCTCAGGAGAAGGGATCAATCCTGCAGACTCTTTGGAGGAGCCCTCCACTCGCCCCTGCCACCAATTGCTATCATCTTTGTTGATTATCTGGATAATGTCTCCAGTAATAAACTTCAGTCCTGCCTCCTTGCAAGGGATAAGATTGTCCTTTTGAGGATCATAGTCAAACTGTGCTCTCATGAACATCTGTAGAAGAAGGCAAAAAGGACCTCAGGAAAAACACTAACATTAGAGCATGTACACAAAAAGTCCCACTATAAGGAAATGGGAAATGAGCAAGAATGAGGCAAAAATTGTAGGCATGCACCCACACATGTGCAGCTGGATTGTTCAAGTGTTCTTAAGTACGTACTGTTGTGTTTGCTGAAGAATCAAAACTGATCCTTTTAACAAGAAAGCATTTCTCATGAAATGCCTTTCTGGGTCACCATGTTGCATATTGCTATCTGAGTTGTCCATCTCAGAGTAGAAAGCTGCTACCATCCATCTGAAATGGATGTTTTCCTTGACAAGATACTCTCAAAAATATGGTAAAGTTGATAAACCTTTCTCTAGAGGAGAGTCTAGCAATATGAATATGTCCATCATCTTTAAATGTTGACATTCTTTGCCCTACCTTCTACCAAACTATGTATTTATCTTACATAAATCATGCTTATTTGTTTAAGAATGTTTATCACAACATTATTTATAAGAGCAAAGTATTAAAAACAATTTAATTTCCTAAGAAATTTTTATTTATCTGAGATAAATAAGTATCTGTTAAGTATATTACCACATAACGTGAAATTCCAATTTGTAGAAGAATATCTAATACCCTTGGGAATCCTGCTAACATTATGTGAAATAAGAATATTAATAAACAAAATAATTAATAAGCAAAATACCTAGAATGTTCAAAATTAAAAAGAAATGTTTGTCATAGGGAAAAATGACTAGAAGAAATTATACCAGAATTTAATACTGATCTGGAAGTATAAGCTGAAATAAATGCTCTCCTCCCAAGTTGTTTTAAGTCAAAATGTTTTATCACTGCAAGAGAAAGAAAACTCAAACACTGGTTATCTGTGGTAATAACATTAAGGAGCACAAATATAGGTCAAACAAATAAGGGAAGAAATAGTAAGGAGCTGAAAAAATTTTAGCCTATAGCACAACAGAGAAAATGGCATTATATACCTGTAGTGCAGGAAGGCGACTCTGCTGATTAGGAATTACTTTTAATGAGATCATTCCTTTGGTTTCCTTCTATTAAAAAAGAAAAGAAAAATGAGACTATAAAGAAAACTAACCTGGGGGATATAGGGTTTTATAAAGTCAGGGTTTTTACTACAGAACCATCTTTATAGTTTAAGATTTGGTCAGATATTACCTCCTGAACCATGAGATTGTCATGTGCTTCCTACACCAGCATAACTGAAGACACAAAAATAATAAAGCAATAGCTTATGACTTTCTCCTCTTCTGATCTTGGTCCCCAAAAGGTCCCTAGAAGTCTCTAAAATGAATACAAATATATCCATATCTTTCTCCACCCCAATGAGAACATTGCAAATATTTATAGTCACATGTTTATTTTGGTTTTTCTATATAGCTGAGGTTGGCCTTAAACTATGATCCTTCTGCCCCAGGCTCCCAAATCCCACCATAACTGGAAGTAGATACAAGTTTAACTTGTTATTGTCCTCCTAAGAACTTATATTACAGGCATAAGCTATATTGCATTCAGCTCAATGATTTATTTTGTAATTTTGTTACCATAACTACAGCTGATCATCCTCTCTCTTTTTTCTTGCAATTTAAGTAATAAAAATAGCCGGGCAGTGATGGTGCATGCCTTTAATCTCAGCACTTGGGAGGCAGAGGCAGGTGGATTTCTGAGTTCGAGAGTTTGAGGCTAGCCTGGTCTACAGAGTGAGTTCCAGGACAGCCAAGGCTATACAGAGAAACCCTGCCTCGAAACCCCCCCCCAAAAAAAAGGAGAAGAAAAAGAAGAAGAAAAAAGAAATCATTTAAACAAAAGTAATAAAAATATACCTAATTATCACATACAAATATTTTCAAATTATGTTTATATCATATAATGACTAAACAGTTAATTAACATGTATTACCTCACTACTTATTTTTGTTGTGATAATACTCAAGATATACTCTCTTAGCATTTTCCAAGAATAATATCCATAGTTATTATACATCTCTCCATGATGCCCACCTATCCCCAGTCCCTGATCAGCACCATTCCACTCTCTATTTCTACAGATTTGCCTTTCTGGATTCTATGTATGTAAGAGTTTATTTGATAACCATCTTTCTATGTCTGGCTTATTTATATCATGTCTTCCTGGTGCACCCATGTGGCTATGATGGATTGTGCAGTAGTAACTGCGCAGATTTTTAAAAGGTTGGTCAGTAGTTTTTTGTTTCTTTTGCCCAGTTTCCTATTTATTTTTGTTTTGAAAATGAAATTTAGATTTCCCTAGAATTATTAGCTCTTTTCTGATCTACTATCTTTTTAGCTTATGCTCATTTGCAACCAGCCCAATGTTAAGAGGCTCACTTTAGGGACCGATTTTCTGACATCACTCCTTGTACTTTAGGGGCCAATTTTCTGACATCACTCCTGGTACTTTAGGGGCCAATTTTCTGACATCACTCCTGGTACTTTAGGGGCCGATTTTCTGACAT